ACACACACACACACACACACACACACACACACACACACACACACCGAGAGAGAGAGAGAGAGAGAGAGAGAGAGAGAGAGAGAGAGAGCTCTGTAAGAAAATAGTGTCTTTTCTGAGTGGAAAGGTCTTGAGAAAAGCTGCAGACTGAAGGGAAAACTAGAAAATGATTGGTGTGCAGAAGAGGTAAAAGGGGGTGGTGAAAAAAATGGCTTTGATTTTAAAAAGTGCAAGGATTTTAAAATTGAGAGGGAGAAAGAAAACGGAAAAGGAGGGTTAAAACCGTCTTAGAGGGAGCAAAACCAAAGTAATGTTTATTTCACTCCCAAAACAGCATTACCTCACTGCAACTTGACCTTTGAAAGAGTTTGGGATGATGTGTGCTTGCTGGAAAACTAGGCAGTCTGTGTCTCTCCTTAATTCCCTTCTAGCTTTCTGTAAGGCTTCTCTTCCCTTGGTTCACCCTGAGTATGTGGCAATTTTCTCATGTTAATTTGCTTGCGACTTCTTTAGTTAGATTTTGACCATGATGAGATCAAGAAAAGAGAAATTTGTCTGGCCTAAGAAAGCCTGTGTAACGCTTTGTCCATCATTGCAGAGATGAAACCCTGTTTTTAGAAGTGAGATCTTACTGTTCATGGGTACTTATTGACATATATCATGCTTCTAACATCAATAATGGGATGGAATTGAGCAATGATTTTAGAGCCATTGCCTGAGGATCCAATTATGATGATTATTAGCTGTTGACTGAGAAAGTCTACCTCCATGATCCTCAGTTTACCAGGTAGAATAAATCACTCTTAAAAGTACTTTAAAGTAATTAGATCAAACAATACATTCCTAGGGCTTAGCAAAAATTACAGTGTTATTGTACACACAACTAAAGATTTTACTATAAATATGTTGTTTATTATTATACTTTCCAATTTATACTAAAATATATAGTACATGCCATCTGTTGCTATGGGGTTAATTTCAGTTAGTGTTTTAAGAGTGCGAAGTATTTCATTGATTTGTGTTTGCTTATTAATGTCACTTCCATGGACTCTGCATAGGTCTTCTCTCATTTGTCTCCTAATTTCTCAGCAGTAGATCTTTTGTTATCGATCTTTCCCAAGGAAGGTATGACAGATAACTTAGAACACAAAGAGCAAAGCTTTGTGCCTTAAATGAGAAAACATCTGTTTTGTTATTTTCACTTTATTTTCAAGTAATATTCATCAGTTTCAAAGAAGACATCATTATATTCGCTCGTTCTTCTTTTTCTTAACCTACTCCTCCCAAACCCCCTTTTCCCATCATTCTTGTTTTGAACTTTGTTTGTTTCCTTGACAACATTGCACTGTGCATGTCCAGGAAAAAGTAATACAGAATATAAAAGAATAGAATGGGCTTTGTGCTGGAGTCTTCCTCTAGGCCAAACCTTCCAGAAGACTGACCCCAGTAGCTACGGTATGTAGGCTCTGAGGCCTCCCGAGACTCTCATCCAGTTCCAAGCATTCAAACAGGAGCAAAAACCATTTGACATCCCAAAGCTGGGCATTCCTCTATGTCATCCCTCTCCAAATCTCCTACAAGATAATCACGTGTGGCTATTACATGGCAGCTACTTAAGGTTTGAACTAAACACTGACTGCTCTACTTTCCTCTTCTGACTGATCCAGAGTTTGGAAATTGTAAAGTAGAGGCTACGTTAAGACAAAAAGGAGAGAGGTGTGAAGATGGTGAGACAAAGCATTGCTGGTGAATGGACTTGGTAGGTAAGCGCCTTGAGAGGAAGAAGCAATGCCCAGTGGGAAAAGACACTGGGGAAAGAAGGCTAAGGAAGAATCTGGGACCATCTGTGTGCTTGTTAGTTAATGCTCTCTCACCATGGAGAGATGTGGCTGAGACATTTGATTTCTAGTCACAGCTGGTCCTCGGTGCCCCTCAGTACTCTGTGCACTTGATGTTGGATTCTGGCTTATTGTTCTTATGACCTATTATTTCATATCTTCATCATGTTCCAGTTCCCTGTCCAAACTCCTCCCTGCCTAACTACTAACAGATGACCTCACCTCCTACGAAGGAGAAAACCAACAATGCTGTTTCTGAATATTTTTAAAGCCATCCTTACCCTCTGTTGTGTATCCTGTGTCAATAGCACTCAATCTACTCGATTTTCTGCATCAATGTTATCCTTTCTAGCTAATCTCAGCTAGATTTCCTCTGATCTGCTCAGGAATAAAGATTTAGTAATTGTGAACTCTCCCTTTGTCTGTGTTCTTGGCTGACTACTGTCCCCAGCTTATAGCCTTTCAAACATCTAGCATTGTGAGGATACTGAGGAAGTCCCCATGCAGAGAAAGGCAGTGTAGTAGCAGGTTCACCTGAGAAAATGGGAATTGATTTTAGGGATAAAAAAGGTAGAAAAACAGAACAAGAAAATAATGTGATAAACACAGGGAAAGGAATATAAACTTTACTCTTGAGGAAGGGAGAAAGATGAGGAGGAAAATTGTAGGCATTTCAGTAGATGTATTTTGTTTTTTCTGTTTGTTTTTAATTTATTTTTATTATTATTTATTCACATTATATCCTGATTCTAAACTTCTCCCTCTTCTCCTCCTTGTTCCAACATCTTTCTTTCTTCCCTCATTTCCTCTTTCCCTAGTCCTCAGAAAGGGAGAGCCCTCTTTCCCTACCATCTGACCCCAGCCTATCAAGTCTTCTTAGGACTACTTTCATCCTCTTCTTCTGTAGCCTGGCTAGGGCCAACCCCCATAACTTCCAGGGAGGAAACATTAAAGAGTGGGCATCAGAGTCCATGTCAGAGACAGCCCCTGTTCCTCTCACTAGGACACCCCCATGAAGACTGAACTGCCTATTGGCTACCTCTGAGCATGGGTTCTAGGTCCTCTCCATGCATGGTCCTTGGTTGTTGTAACAGTTTCATCAGGTCTTTGTTGGCTCTGTTTGTCTCCTTGTGGAGGTCCTGTTCTCTCCAGGTCTTTCTATCCCTGCACTCTTCTATGTGGGTCCCAGTGCTCTGTCTAAAGTTTGGCTGTTCGTCTTAACATCTGCTTAGAACCTCCGTTGGCTGGAGTCTTTCAGAGGACATCTATGGTAGGCTTTATTCCTGTTCTCTTTCTTCATCACGTCCTGTGTGTATTCTAATTGCCCTTGTGAATGATAATTCAGTAAGCATCCTCCCTAAGATCCTCTTGATTTTTAGCTTCTTCTTGTCTGGGGATTTTAGTGTGGTTTTCTGTATTATATGGCTAATACCTGCTTGTTAGTGAGTATATAAAATGTGTTTCTTTCTGGTTTTGTGTTACCTCACTCAGGATGATCTTTTCTAGGTCCATATATTGTCCTGCAAATTTTACAATTTCCTTGTTTTTTAATTGCTCAGTAGTATTCCATTATGTAAATGGACCACAATTTCTGTATCCATTCTTCAGTTGCGGGACATCTAGGTTGTTCTCAGATTCTGGCTATTATGAATAAGGTTGCCATGAACATAGCTGAGCAAATATCCTTGTTGTATGGTGAAGCATCTTTTGGGTATATGCCCATGACTAGTATAACTGGGTCTTGAGGTAGAACTATGCCCAATTTTCTGAAAAAGCTCATGATTGATTTTCAAAGTGGTTGTACAAGTTTTCACTTCCACTAGCAATGGAGGAGTGTTTCCCTTTCTCCAGGTCTGGCATGTTCTGTTACTTTAGATGTACTTTGTAACGACACCATTTTTTAAGAAAGGAGATACTCTAACGTGACTGCCTATGCCTCTCCAAAGGGGAAAATCTTGTTTACATCTTCAAAAGCATACTCATGCTGGTTATCTTATTTATTAAAGCAGCAGATGTTTAGGAGAGTATGTCTTATATATTTGAAAATCACAATGAAAAAATCTGAATTATCTGTATGAAATAAGTGACCAAGGATGGATCAATGCTTTCTAAAATTATACCCTTGTTTTTTCTTTTCCTGAGTTTCCAGAAGTTTAAGATTACATTTAATTTTTCATCAAATGTCTTAGATAACATTATCAGAAGGTAAGACATATTTTTTATTTCTATATTATATAGCTGTTTATTCATGTCTCTTATCTTTGAACAGGTATAACATAATAAGGTAGCCAGAAGTCTGTGAGACAAAAAAAAAAAAAAAAAAAAAAAAGCCAAAATCCTCTGATGTGCACATTAGGGATTTCCAAAGTACACAGAATACTACAAATCTGAGTATTTTCTAAAAGGAGAATTACAAGAGGCAACTTTATCATTAATTTAACCTGACAGTATCATAGATATCTGGATGTCTTCCAGTGGGAAGAACAATAAAGCTACATAATTCAATAAAGCGTTGTTGCTCATCACACTCACGGATTACATACACACGCACCCCCCCCCACAGTTGTACATGTAGTTGTGTGAGTGTATGTGCAGATATACCATGAAGTACATATGATCATCTTTCACTCATTGCTTCTAGTTCACTGCTGCAGACATCAGGCTATCTGGCCCATAAGCTTCTTTAGTCTCTGCCTCTATTTGTCATGGAGTCACTGGGGTTACAGATGTGCATGCACCCATACCTAATCTTGTAT